GCTGGCGGGCTGGTTCGCCAATGCCTTCTGTAAAGCCTTCTCATCGTTTACAGGAACATCTTCAAAGGAATCAATAGAAACAACCCGGACATTTTTCTAGTGAAATTAAAAAAAAATCAACCATCTCAATTAGAACATTCAGCAAATTCTAATCTCATGATAATCAAAATAAAAATAGTGAAGGGCAAAGAAGACATGAGACATACCTTGTAAGTATCGCATTTCCCACCGTGTCCTCTATAAGGATAGTCTTCCTCCGAGTCAATGCCCCCATTTGCTATAATGAATTGAAAGGCGTCGTCCATAAGGCCACCATTACATCCTTGGTTTCTGGCAGTATCACAATCTACCAGCTCTTGTTCAGATAGCGATACGAGCTTACCAGTCACAATCTGGTTGATCCCTTCCACGGCCGCAATGCTTGAAAAAGCCCAGCAACTCCCTTCCAATCATAAAAAACAAAGCCTTAAATACTCCAATAATCTTTGTGCACTATAATTCAATTACAGTTGATAAAGAAAAGAAAAAAAGAGCACACCGCAGGCGCCTTGATCCTTCACAGGTACGACGGCGCCCTTGGTCGTCCAATCGACGGAATCCGGAAGGGCCTCTCCAGCAGCGAGGCGGTACCGATCGCTAGGATTCCGGTGGGAAGGCGAGGGTCGAGATCCAAGATAGGTAGATCGGTACTCCTCGTTGGTGAGATCGGCGAATCTGTTGAGACCGAGACGAAAGGAATGTAAGCCAGCGTTATGCTCGTCAATGTACCTGAGATTATCCTTGAAGATCTCAAAACGCCTTTCTTTCTCATCAAGCTCATTATAGATCCGGCCGTGCTTCGCCATCCAGTTCTCGTAGAGCTCCATGACCTCCTCGTCCCCCCTTTCCAGCCCCCTCATTCCGCGCCCCTCCTCGTAGGTTATGATCGACATGTCAGGCCCATTGCCGCCTGCATCCTCCATTGCTGCCACTGCTCCGATGACAAGGAAGATGAGGAGAGCAAGAAGCAAAGTGAAGGGAGCTGAGGCCATCGTGGAGAAGAAGATTGTTTGAATGGAGGTCGAGGGCTTTTTCTCCTTTGCCTGCTTTCATCGGAGCTCTCCCTCGAGGGCTATTTATAGGAGGAGACAAAAAGGCGCCCAGCAGTATTATTTCGAAAAAAAATATAAGGTTGGCAATTGTTAAAGCGGCGAATAATTAAAATAAACCGAAAGGGGATGGTTTATTAGACCGGTTTTGTTTTTATTCTAGTTTTCTTAAAAGGTTCTAATTATTAATTAAATAGTTATTTAGCTGTATTTAGTTATTAAAAAATTTGAGCCCTGGTCGATAAAGTGGGCCCACAGTTTGTCTTTTACGGGAGCGCTTGAGATTCTTTGCAGGTCCTACAAAATGTCCCGAAATAGTTTTTAATTAACATAAAATCATATGGCATTAACACATATAGCATAAATCCCACCTATTTACATATTTAATATTAAAATTTCAAATATGCTTTAATAATAAATAAAAGCATATTATTATTAGTAA